GAATAGAAATAGATATAATGGTTTGATTTTATTAGATTGAAAGAATCTAAGGTTTTATATAATTTTCTATAGATTTGAATTTTCAAATCATTCAAAATAAGTCTTTTCTATTTCGAGACTTTTATTAGATCTAGATATTTATATCCAATTATCTTTTGATTTTTTATTCTTTTTTAATTCTTTTAAAAAGTATATAAAACAATACAAAAAATCTGTATATAAATCTGAGTTATAATTATCTATACAAAAGGTAGAAAGTAATTAATAATTATCCAAATAAAGTGATGGTATTTTGCCGAGAATAAAATCAGAAAGGTAAATTTCAAAATCATTGTATTATATTCCCGATTTTGATATTAGTATAATATCAATAGCTTTCAAAACAATAAATTTGAATACAAGAGATACTTGGATATACCTTTGTAAAGGTTCAGCTGATAGGGGTTAGGATTAGAGATAAGATATCCTAGTTGGCCTCAAAATGTGACAATATTTATAATCAACCTGGATTATAAGATATTAACTCTTTATTAGCATATGATTTTTTCTTACCAAAATATAAACTTTTCTATTACAAAATAATACCTTCCTAACCAGTTAATACGGTAATCATTTTGTTTTCAAGTTGCCCCTTCTAGATTATATCATTATCCTTGAAAGACATTTTGTTATTTTATCTCTCCTTGGCTAAACTTGTCTTCAGTGATAATATTGATACATTGTTTATGTGTCATGTTTAGCACGTGCCTTAGCTTTTCCTATGATTTCTACCTGTGATTTCTACCTACTCATTCGCTCCTTTACAATGCAAGTAGTCCTGAGACATGTACTGAAATCAAAAAAGACATTTCTGCCTCAAGGATCAAAGAGGGCCGAGTAAGCACCCCATTGCTTTGTCATAGAATAGCCACAGTGACATGTCTAATTACACTTTCAACATCAGAGGAGAACTAAGAAAATCCCAGAGCTAGCTCTGAAGAAAGTTTCATTGAGGGTGAATAAGTCATACGGTTTTAAAAGTGGATTATTTCAGTGGTTTAACCTCGGACTTGCTCTGAAAGTAGATTTTCACAGGCAATACTATCATGTGAAAAACATCACAGGAAATTAGATACTATAAGTATCATTTAATTCCAAGTGTTCTCCTGGATTCAAAGCCCCAATTAGATGATTAAACCCAAAGAATCTTTGGGAGAGTTCTGACAGTAAATGTGGCACTTTCCTGTCTGCTAGATAGTTTTGCCCATCAACTTCGAGCATTCAGAAATGGAAAATCTACATCAGCATATACACCAGTCATATACACCAGTTAGGATTCAATAACAAAGATACTTCTGATTCCAACTCCTAGAACACAAACAGCAATTCAATGATTCACCACAGAACAATAAATGAATATGGTTAGGTTAGCTTTGTCCAGACTCCATCACTTCTAAACCTCTCCTGAAGGAAAAATGACATATCATTCACACCCAATGAATTGAGCTTAGTGAACGCCAGGTTAGGCACCATCAATTCTTATTATAAATCATGACTTATACCACTGCCAGCCGAGCCCTATCATGGTGGTTTAATTTCGGTTAACAGTCCAGAGAAACATGCCAAGAGCTTCTTCCAATCATCCAAGTCTGTGTTGTGAAAAATTTGCTCTATCGTTTGCTTTATAATCAAATCTTTTGAACAGCTTGAACTAGGCCTCCTATTCATTAGCTGGTTTATGACCCATGTGTATTGCATGATTCGCTTATCTTTTCTGCTCTATCTAATTGATGTATTTTCTCCCTTATCTTGTAAAACTGCATCTGGATGTTATCTTCTCCGATGACATTTCTATATTCACTATGTATATGTCTGCTATATTTAATCTTGGTTTTCTTTTTAAAACCTCGTATAATATTATACAGTAGAGGTTATGAGTCGGCCGGTATTCTACGGTTAGGTGATGTGCCACATCGGACTAAGGCATAGGTACCCTTTCCTGTCTATTTCTTTTCCATCTCCCCCCTTTTCCATCCTTATTTCCTGTTTTCTCGACACCTTCCTTAGATTATCTTCTGGTCAACAATGTGATCTCTCTTTTTTTAATTAGAGTTCCACCGTACGGTATCTGACAGTATACAAGGAACCAAGTTTCTTCTTACTTCTTTTTCCCTTACAAACACTCGTTCATCACAATTTTTTCTTCATCAAAAGAAGACAAAACACAATTTCGAAGGTTTTCTGATACTTTAAGATGGATTTCACTGTTGGAAAATCATGGTATAATAAGCCTAATGAATCTTCTATCTCTGATAATTCTTCGACAAAGCACAAAGCCAAAGGCAAAGGCAAAGGGGTTCATGGCACGGAATCAAACACTTCTTCTTCAGCTACTGGTATTTCCCACATTTTCAAGTACGTAATTGGAGCATTTTGCAGCTAACATTACTTAAGATGGCTTTGCAATTGAAAGAGATGATCCCGCTCCATTCAGAGCTAGGGCAACCCATGTTCAGCGTCTAGAAACTCTCGCAAGTCAGGCAGAACACGATCAGGACGAAGACGTCAAGCAGGCTGATCTCAATTCCATGCACTTCATTCAGCCACTGGACCGGGAAGATAAAATAAAAAAAAAGCTGAACCGACAGCTTCCAGTTGAGATGACCTTCGGAGAGTCAATGAAGGGTTATTCTCCCCCTAAACGCTCCCGGTGGGCTGATGTCTTCGAGACGAGACGCTTTGATCGAAAGCTGACACCCCCCAACTTCATCACCAATACTTCGAAAAAGCCATCATCTCCCAAATTCGTCACCAGTCCACTACAAAGGATGTCACCACCTCCTGACCCTGGTAGTATGGTCCATTCAAACGTCGTGTCGAAGATGAAATCTCCATTGACAAAGAAGATACATGGTTCAAAAGACTCCAAAAGGTTTCGTGAATTCTTAGCCAGAAGCGATAGTGCAATGCCTTTGTTCATCTCACCAACTGGTACAAATCAACAGTTCTTCCCGGCCACTAGGTCCTCTCGTCCGTCCAATACTTCTTCCGTAGCCGGCGCATCTAGCACTACTTGTCTGCTGGCTAACTCTTCTCGTCCATCCAATAACTCTCATCTTTCGGTTAATCATTCGATGGCAGTACATTCATTGAGCAATTCCAGAGGCTCGAGATCATCAACACATACGAGGACAAGCACTAATCACTCGCTGAGCACTGGTGGAACAGTGTGGTCACCCATGGACCGTAGTTTTGATTCTTCTGTTTCCCAGCGCACGGATCACACTCGTATGAGCTCTGCATCTAGTAACTTTGCCCATCAACCAGCTATTCCTGAGCATCATCACATTATTGTCACACCACCTGCGTGGCACAATTTTGACCAGGCGTCCCCTGAGATGCTCCCGCCACTCAAGACGTTTTCAGATCAAGGCATGGCTCTTTCAATAACCCCAGTTCCTCCACAATCAGCATCCATGGCTATGGATAGCATGATGGGTTCTTTCCCTGATCTATCCCATTTGGTTAAGAAGTTTCGTCCTACCAACATGCTTCTCCGAGAACAAGGTATGATCCCAGATAATTCTCGTCAGGACACGAATTACGAAGGCGACGAGAACCATCCTGATTTGCTCGGCCTTCCTGATGACATTAATTGCTGCATGTGGATCATCAACATTCCGCCAGAAGTTCAGCATGGAGAGTTCATGCGCCTCCTCGATTGTGGTGCCGTGGCTGCACTATCCTTGGTTCCGCCTCAGAGAGGCCATGTTACGCAAGCTGCAAAGGCCACATTCAAGAAGGTTACGAGTGGTGCTGAGCTCTATCGTCGCGCTCGCCACAGATCTGGACTTCGAATTCGTGGACAAAAAATCAAGGTCTGGTACAACGATTACGGTGCGTACGAATGGACGGGTCCTGAGACACGTTTCTTGGAAATCGAGGCACCGGTAGTACTCGATGATAACTTTTGGCGGTCATATTTCAACAACTGGTGCAAGAACATTGTAATTTCGATCCAGCCACTTCATTGCGCAAAATATGGCTTTGCGTTCACAAGATTTGAGTTTGTTCGAATCGCGGGACAGGCCCAGACCTGCTTCCAAGCAATTCAGAAAGATGAGGCGTTTTTGGGACAGGTGAACGTCCAATATGGCATAGATCCTTATGACTTTTGATCTCGTCATGCGCAACTAATATGGGTAGGTGGTGTGTTGTTTTCTACGTGTGTGACGGCGGAGTTGGGTTTTGGTCTAATTTCAAGTTTCTAAGGATTATCGAGGGGTTACAGTTTTCGAGACAACTAATGACTGCTTGGGTGCAAGGTTTGGTGAGATTGGTGGAATGAATTGGAACATTTAAGGGTATTGATGGTGGACAAAAAATGTGTCTGGATGCTGCTATTGGGCACTGACAAACAATGCCGGTCAGAATTTACAGTTGCGGTGGATGAGGAAATAGTGTACCAGTACTCGAGACTTTCACGACGCATTGGGAGCTGGCTCTCCGAAAAGGGATTAATATCAAAAAATAAATGGAAATTCATATGAGGCACGCCTTGTATTTATTAGATAGCCATAGTTCTAGAACTCAGTTATGGATACAGGAATTTAACGGAAAATAATTTTACAAACTTCTCATTTTGCTGTGACTGCTCCACAACCTGAACATATTCCCTCTTGGCACCTTCCTTTTCAGTTTTGATGACTTCCTAATTCACTTGGCTGCGATTTATGTACTTGAAATAGATCTCTTTAGCATCAAGTCTTATTTTCTTTCTTCAACGGAACATCTAAATGGCAGATTTGCAAACTGCCGAGTCAACGCTATGTATCATAAGATACTAGAGGAGTCTCTACAATATTCCTTCAAGATTAGCCCTGTACATCATACTATTCAACATAAAGATTAGTCCCGTATGACACTCTAGTCGAACATGAAGCTATGGCAAGGGTATGTATAAGCATGGCAAACTGCCTGATAGGTTGTGCAAATGCAGATGATAAAGCAGTATGATACAAACCGAGGAGGAAACCAAGCATCACTAACGTTCATTAGCTCGTCGATCACTTCAGGAAACAGCAATAGTAAGCTAGCAATTGTCTCTAGCCTTCCGATATAAGAGCAACATCTGCGAAGTTATTCAGGAAATAATGTTAGCTATGTAGAGCATCGAATCTTCTCTAATGATACTACAGTATGCCTTCAGGTTCTCAACTCTTAAAACTTCGAGTAGACACGGGTCCATAGATTCGCCACTCTGATATGGGGATATCGAGACGTTGACACAGTTGTGCCTATCGAATAGAAGCCCCAGATCGAAAATCATGTCCCATGCGCATGCAATACTAAGACTTCAAGCGGCAAGCTCTAGATAGTATATCTCAGTTGTAGCTAGACTAAATGGTGACTGAGAAGTTCCCAATATCTCCAGTTTCCAATGGGACCCTCGAGTATTAGACTATCTTACATCTCTCTTCAACAATCTATTCTCCAATCATCGATCCTAGCTACAGAATACTATTTAAATAATTATAATTTAGCTAGAAATAGATTAGGTAGAAGGAATGGACCTTACAAGTTAGAACATAGTATAGCTTAGTGTGAGAGCCTATATATCATACCATCACATATCAATAACATCCCCTAAGCGCTGTTCTAATGAGCCCCTCTGCTAGTTCATCACAACAATCTTAGTACAACATCCAAAAGTAACACAATATCAAATCCTTAACCTACATCTCATTGCGAACTCAGTGGTAGATGTTTTCAATCCTTTTGTCCAATCGTCCCAGTACTCTCTCCTAAGTTTACCCATATCCTCAATCTACCTCTAGCTCTGTGTTCACCCCTTCACAAGACCCCTTCAAGTTGTAGACGGCCACCAACGTAGCATTTTATTTTGCACATGCCCACTCTCATCCCGATAGCCATGAGATCTAAAAGCCAATCTTCTCCTTTGTTAAGTCAAATTTCTTTTGTACATGATTTCCCCTGCGACCTTCCAACCGACCTTGGGTACAACTAAATATTATCAAACTGCTATTTAATGAAGAAATTAAGCTAGGATTAGACAATAATTAGACCACAGTTGTATGCCAAGAAAGCTGAGGGGGGGGATAATGGATCTGCGAAAAAGGTATCTGTCTTTGTTGTGTGATCCACGACCACACTAATATCAGAGTGCTACTACTTGGATTAGATTCATTGTCTCTATCAGTTCCTAAGCAAGAATGCTAGAGGCAAGTCTTCGAATTTTCGAGCTTTTGAGTTTTTGCAATCTACCTGTGTGTATGGATATTGTTAGTTCATAGATGGCTTCAAATAAGGAAAACGAAACCAAACAGTAAACTTTGACAGACTTTTATTAGTAAGGGAGAACATTTTATGGTCTTTGTCTACAATTAGATGTACTCTGGACATTTACCATCAATCAAGCTTCATGATAACAGCCTGAAAACAGAGTCAGTACCCTCTCATTCATTCCATCCCAACGGGATACATTTATAATTTCACCCCCTCAACCGCCCAAATCTCAAACATCAAACAGATATACTCGTATAAATAATGTGACTGCAAAAGCCATTGATGAGCCTCAATCTACAAGGAAATCCCCTTCCCCCTCCCCCCATTCTTTCCTGCCAATGGGAAGATCAGATGTTTCACCAAAAGAAATTAGCGAGACAGACCCATCACACCCCTCTCTGCAATCACAGAAAATCATAGAAACAACTCTAGCAAATATGAAACAAACAAATCCAGTGAATAAGAGCTCCAAAGATCATGATTGACCAATGTCAGCAGATTCTGTACTAAAAACTGTTAGCGTCGTTTGCCCCCTCCTTTCTAGAAAATATCTAGCATTAACGGCTAGTCCCGATAACACTTTACTTTACTGTTGTAATCAATACAAAGATATATTCCGGAACCTTTGTAGTCAACCATCTTCTTACTTACAATATCACAAAACAGAAAACTTTGTTAGATGTTTCTACAAGCATTTGAACTTTCGATTATCCACAAAGAGCTATCAATGCAACAGAGAACATCATCTATTCTCCCCAGTTACCTCCTTACTCTATTGTACCCCTTCTTTCCTTAATCACCTCCAATTGTTAATTCCCAGATCCATTTCTATTCTGGCGAAATGTCTTACAAACTTAACTTTAATAATATGGCAAACCCATCCATGGCTTCTTATACTTCTCATTTCGACGCACAAATGAATCCACGCGAAGTGTTCCTTCTTGATGGTAAGTCCTATCATACTTCGCCAAAAGTCTATTTATACGTCCCTTGCCCATAGTTCACACACTCACTCTCCACTTCCACATATCTGCATCTATTTGTATGATGCGAGATCTTCTCACAATACCAGCATCACTTCCACTTATCCTTCCATTTATCTATTCATATCCCAGACTCCACTCTCTGCTTCCGCAACTTTTGTCTAAGTTGTGATATGCAAATCCTTATTTAATCCCCAAGATCATACTCCACTGAACCTTCATCCTTCCACAGAATCCAATCCGCAGAACCCACTCTAGATCCGCTTGTGTCGCGTAGCACACAAGACCTTACCAAATACCCAATATCCAATACCACCACAGAAAGTTCTCGCACACAAAGACTAATCAAAGTATCGCTAACTGACCACTTTGAACTCTAAGAGTAACACCAGCATCAGTACAAGAGAGATTTGCCAAAGTCATGGAGAACAACAGACAACGTGAGGCAGAGTATGATCTCAACACCAAGAGCTCCATATCATATATACTGACTTACTGTGTCATAGGCGCGTTCATCAAAGCAATTTTAACTTGCAAATACCATATCTCCATGCTCAATACTGGGAATCTCAGCAAAATCAATATTCTAAAGATTCTAATTTTACCTCAATACCGCAGCAGAATATGACTTCCCAAACAACATACGCTAACACGCCTGTGCATGGAGCATATATGGCTAGACACCCTGTTCCTGTTAGACGAGCCACGGGGCATATGCAGATGCCTAGCAACTCCAGAAACTTCGAAGCTGCGGCACCCAATGAAATTCCGAATCCTTTCGGATATGGCCATGGTCAAGTCGGAAATCAAATGTGGAATCGTGGTACTTCGGCTACGAATCAGCATCAGCAAGAACCGCGACGACTTAGTCCCCCTCCCAATTACTTCACTCGATCGGTCACGTTTACCGAGAGTTATTCTACCAATCCCGTGAATAATTCTCAAAACAACGAAATGCATCACCAAAACCGATCCCAAGGACATGTATCTCATGAGCACAGCACAATGGGTCAACACACGAATATGCCGCAAGATCACGTCCACGTACCCCACACTGTCACCGAAATGAACGAGGAGCTCAACATGCCCAAAGAAGCCGTACCCTTCGCGGACCAATTCCAAATGGAACCATCCAAGAGGCTCCTCCGTCGAAACGGCTCATTGATACCAGGCGAAGAACCTTCTCCACATCCTTCTAGCAACTACAAAGGCAATCCAGCGGCCGGACTTATAGGTCTTCCCCATCATCTCAACTGCGCTCTCTGGCTCACAAACCTCCCCCCTGACATCCAACCATTCGAAGTATTCGAAGAGATCAACACCGGCGCAGTATCCGCCTTCGAAATAACTCGTCCGCAGGGAATCTTCGTAATGTCCGCCGCAAAACTAATATTCAAGCACCCCGAAGCCGCCGCGCGATTCATTTCCCAAAGCGAAGGTCCGACAGGAATCATTGTGCGACGACGCAGGATAAAAGTTCGCTACAATATGTTTGGGCACCGCCGATATAGAAAAGATGAGAGGACGCGAGTGCTGGCGATTGAAGGGCCTGTTGAGCATATTGAGTATGAAGATCTCAAGTTGTATTTTGAGAGTTTTTGCGATCATGAGTTGTCGGGCTGGGAATATGTTCCGTCGAGTATTCCGGGGTATAGGAAGTTGGTTTGGGGGTTTGCGAGGATTGATGGGCAGGCTACGCAGTGTTTGAATGGGATTCGGAGTCATCCGGTTTGGGGAAAGGTGTTGACGGTTGATTATGCACCGGATCCATGCGGTAGATTTTACCCATAGAGGGTATGTATCTGGAAGTTGGCTGGGAATTCGAGCTGTTAAGTTTGCAATTCATTATAAAAGCTTTTTGTAGATAGTCTTCGGTCGAGCAGATAGTTGTGGGAAGATAAACTGAAATATTGAATCCGTTGTAACTTGCATACAATAATTCGCGTTCTATTCATCATTGAAGAGGTCATCTGAGCAATAGCAGTGCAGCAAGACACCCTAGCCATGATGATTAGATGGGCAATCGCTCCTAAACTTTCAGATCAACTGCAACATTGATGATCTCTCTTTATGAGCTAACTAACTGAATTGTGATATATATATATAATCCACCATAAATACAGTCACCATCAACTGCTATTAAACCAAGGCCTGTTTTACACCCAAATTCACTACTTTCAACAAATCATATAAATTTCAATTAATGAAAATATTTAATAAATAATCAATATGATTATTCTTCTTTAAAAGAAATATGAAGAAAGATTAGTGATTTATTTTTGATGATTTTTTATTATATAGAATTTAGGTTTGAAATTTGAAAAAGAAAATTTATCTGATTTTTGCGGATAAATTCGATAATTTTCAAATTCTTGATTTGAAAGTCTAATAACTTTTTGAATAAATTTTTGAAAGTTTCAAAAACTATATTTTAATTATTATAGAATGAAATTCTTGATAGTCCAAGAACCAGTAAGTCCTCGCTCGAGTACCCTTGATGACGTCACGTTTGCTCACACTCATCAGACAAACGTGAACGTATTTAGCAAAGCCCATTTAGTTAATCCCCAAGCTCGTGCGCTTCTCAGGCGTGTTAATATGGCACCCGGATACTATCCTGCCATGCAAAAAGACATGAAGATGAACAATAATGCTGTTTCTGTTCATCATCAACGTACTTCCCAACTCGAACGAAATATCATCGATTCATCGTCTTCAACAATGGGCAAGAAGTCGTATGGCCAGCTCAAGCTAGTTGAACAACTCGAGCTACATACTGGAGCCAGTCATCCGCACCGAAATACTGAAATGCAACTCCTCCACAATGCCGAACATCAAGACATCGCTAGCTTTCCTCGACAAGCACAAGCCCAAGCCCAATATAATGATGTCTCGGGTCGAAGTATGGAGTACGCATCAGCTCACCAGAAGCAAGGACTTGATCATCATGTTATGGAGTATGGACATGGCACTCTTGGCACCAGTGATGAAAAAATTGGACAATATAGTGCGCAATCGGATAATGAAATGCACCTCACGAACGGTCCAGTAGATATCGACGGTCACTATCCCACCCATAGTCAGGAATCACCCTATACTTTGGTCTCCAAGATGAGTATTCATATTACTATCAAGTCGACACCACCAAGACATGGCCACATCCAACGCACAGCAACAATGCACCGAAAGATGGCGAGGACTCGAATAACAGAGATGTTGCATTAGTCCAGTCTCGAATCAACCCAACCAATCAACTCTTGAGAGAAAGAAGGCTCATCGGATCAATCCCCGCAGAGGCTCTGTTTGTCTCAAAGTACATGGGAGATCATAATCAACGACACCCCTTCTTTAGAAGCGGTGGAGAATTGGGGGTACCCGATCATCTGAACTGTTCAGTCTGGATTCGAGGCATCAGCAAGGAGATTCCCAAGGAACATTTGTATTGGGAGTTATTTAAGGTTGTCTCCGTCGGACCCGTTATTGGCGCATACATTAACGAAGCAGGCGACTCCCTTCTACACCATGCTGCAAAAGTCATTTTCAGGCACCCGGAACATGCTGGTCGATTATGTCAATATGCTTCCAAGCATGGTATACAAATAAATGGCGAGAATCTTCGAGTTGAGCCTAATAGGTTTGGATACACCGAATACCCACGTCGGTTGCATTACCAAAGTCGCGTTGTTATCGTCGAGGTTCTGAACGACTCAAACTTGGGAATCGCGTATTGGTTGAACTTCGTCAAGAGTTTGTGTGTTTTTGGTATCGAGAGCACAAGACATCTTTCCCATAGTACTGCTAATCGGATGGTCATGGAGTTTAGATTTGCGCGGATCTTTGGTCAAGCACAAGTCTTGCTCCAGGGTATTAAGAGCTCCCAAGAATTTAAAGGAAAGGTGTCTGTTCGATATGTACCAGATGTCGCTTGCGATTTGCCTCACAACTAAATCTAGCTGTGATTCTGGTCAAGCCAGTTTCGGCAGTTAGGTGACAAAACGCACCGGAAGCTTTTGAGATATACTGGGTGTGTGGGGTGACCGTGGCCTGGACTTTGGCAAAACCTATTATGGATGAATATGACTGGAAAATGACTTACCTATGGGATTTTGACATGGATACCGAAAAATGGATAGCAAGGCATACTTGAGAAAAACAATCTCAGAAATGATCGTGGCAATGAGAGAGAGAGATGTTGGTTGACCGAGGAATAAGCGAATATTAAGAATATGAGTATAATATATATCCCAAGCCCCCACCCATATCGTCATAAAACAGCCAATAAAATTTCCATATCCCTATCTCACAGACTTACTTCAAAACCCATAGTTGAGTTAGTAGTTAATTACCTCAAGCAAAGATATCATCCGTCCTTCGAAATCCTCAAGCATTCCCCTATATACTCCTATACCATAATCATCTCTCTTAGTCCCCTAGCCGCTAACCCACCCTTTACACAACAGTATGTTAGTATCCCAAGGGCAATGTACATACACCTGACTACTTATGTAATCATCACTGCTGATTGCCCTAACTCATCACATACCTATACACTCAAGACCCCAGAAGACTAGGTAGTTACCGCCCTCCCTAGCACCTAGCACCTAGCACCTAGCACCCATCATCAAAATCTCCAGACTCCAGTCTCTAACCTCCAGTCTCCAGACTCCAGAGCAACATAAGTAGGCTTTCTTTTCTCGGCTAATTAGTAAATCACCTTGTTTTGATACTCCACCATTCCCTTTTCTACTCAGTACTCCCATCCCACACCATCGCATCAGTCTCCTTTCTCGACACAGGGAAGCAATTTCATTGCTCAGGTATACCACACCACATCATATCATATCATATTCTACTATACTACATACATACATAATAACCCTTTGGTATCATAATCCAAACCAAAGTAAAGCTTCTCCATCCTCTATCCACCATCAGTATGTTGTAACATACAAGAAGATCGTGTTTTGAAGATCGTGTCTGAAAGATCGTGAAATGAGAAGGCCATTGATCTGCAATCACATCGCATCATTATCCCGTTGATATAATTAGCTGGGTAGCCAGTCTTAAGAAGAACCCCGAGAATTAGATCCCCATAGAACCCAGTACTCCACTCCTCTCAGAACTTTTATCCAGTGCCCTGCCCAACCATAACATGCGCCTGAAAACTATCTCCCACATTTATCAACTCGCCTCTTAATTGCCTTTCTCCATACATCCATACATCCATACCCTCTTTCTTATTATAAACCCGTGACTCGTACCGAAACCTCACCTCCCACCTTTACGAACTCGCAAATTGGCTTTTCTCAATCCACGATTTCGAACCCTCTCCTGTATCATCAACCCATTCAGATCATCCAGTACCAATGGGAACACACAGTCAATATCTTCTATCTGTTGTGCTTGATCCTTGATCGTCAGCTCCAGCGTTAGTAAACGCTGTAAAGTCTGCTCCTCGAGTACTCCCATCTCTGCTCGATGAATGCCAATTAATTCTTCGATGTCTGTTTCATGCTTCTTCAAAAGGGCTGCTTCTTTTTCCTCCGTGAGACCGAGACCGAGAGACTTGAGCTCTTCTTCTGTTTTGATGCTCGGATTTTTGTTTTCTTTGTCAGCCGATAAAATTTCGTCCTTGAAACCGCTCAACAGTTTTTCAATGCGAGCCTCATACGCATCTCTGAGGACCTTTTGTTGATCCATCAAAAAGCTTGCGATCAAAGGTTTGAACTTTCCTTCATACTTCAATTCGAGCTCTTTTTCTCTTTCGAGCATGCGCGATTGAAATGAAGTTTCGATGTTCTCATCGTATTCCTTCCTCAATGCTTGATCCTTTTCTGTCAAATACTTCCATAGAACTGGCCTGAATGTCTCTTCATATTTAACTTCTAGCTCACGATCGCGTTTGGATACAAAATCCTGGATGAGAGAATCGGTCGTGGCTTTGTGGCATTGAGCTTCGCTTTTGAGTCGTTCCTGCAGCTTTTGATCCATGAGAATTATGTTTTGTTTCTGACTCTCTTGGGTGCTCAGAGCCAGATCCGCACATGTTTTCTCTACATTTCGAACCTTGTCATCCAACCTGTTCATGAGTGTATCCGATTGCTTATGCTGGAGCTCCAGCGTTGACTGACGATGCTTCACCTGGGTTTCCTGCAAAGCACAAATCTTTTCCGTCAACAGTGCTTCCGATGATTCCAAGCTCTCTTGAAGTTCCTTGGAAGAAATTTGCCTTTGTGCTTCCAGTCGACTTTCCATCTGTTGAATGGTTCTGGGAGTTGACTCCAAAAAGGCTGAATGTTCAGTCTGCAACTTTTCCATGGCAGAAGAATTCTTCATGACCTCAATATCTAAATTGCGGAGTTCTTCTTCGCGATCTTCTTGCCAAGTCTTCCAATTAAACGCCAATAACTCTGTGTGTTCTTTCTGGAGATTGACATTCGATACAAATTGTGAGACTGTTTCTTCCGTAGCTGCCAGTCGATTTTGCGAGGCAATGAGTTGATGCTTCAAGGTTGTAATTGTTCTCTCAGATGCTGTTAGTTTGTGCTCCATGGCTGCTCCTACTTCACCGTCTCTGTCCGCCCGTTGCTTCATGAGATCGTCAATGTGACTCGTAAGGTTGGCACTGACAGTGAGGAATTTTTTGCCTATCGCGCTTTCCAAATCTGCAAGCTTGGAATCGTGCTTTTTGTTTGTGGTATCAATCCATTCAGCAGTCCTGTGATCCAAGGAAGTAAACTGTGTAGACTCTTGGATTATCTTCTTCTCTATAGTCTTTATTCTGGTAGAGAGTTGTATATACTGCGTCTGTAATTCTGAGGTAAGCTGTGACCTCAGAGAATCGTACTTGTTCTGATCATGCTGAGGACCACGAGAAACCTTGTTCTTAAGCTCCTCAAGATCACCATGTCGCGAAGCTACTGCAGTCTGCAATAGATTAACACGTTCGTTGAGTTTCTGACGTTCGTCCTCCATCTGAGCAATCATCTTTCGGCGAAGCTCCTCTTCCAGCTTACAATGGCGTGACAAATCGTGTGCCGTGCCTTCATGCTGTTTACCGAGGACCAAAATTCGATTGGCTTGATCTGCTATGGCAGAGTCAATTCTTGGAATCGGGGCCTGGGAAGAATCGTTAGTATCATCCAGATCAATATCCACTTTTCTGCAAAATAAGATCCTCCAGATCGGCTTTTTGCTCACCTGCTTGAGTGCCTTTATGTTGCCCTGTGCCTCTTTAAGCTGCGTTGCATGACTGCTTCTTGACGCTGACAACGACTCATTGGCTTGTTCTACAAACCTTAAACGCCTAGATAGCTCCATTTGTTCCCTGGATCCAGCCTCTGCGGCAAAAAGTCTAGCGCTCAATTCTTCTGTTGATGATTTACATTCTTCCAATCGCGAAAATAGATCACGGTTTCGATTTTCAGATTCATCAAGTTGTCTAGCCATCTCCTCAAGCTTCTGATTGTGGACATTCTCTGATGACACCAGCCGATGTTCCAAACTTCGTATATGTGCAGTTAAAGGACCAGTGCTTTGTTGTACAACATTAGCTATCATAGTCTCTAAAAGGCCCCCATTCGGGCTTGAGCTGTCTGATAATCCCGCCAAAGGTGGGGCGACTGGAAGAGGTAGAGGTGGTGGTGGCATAGCCGATACTATGGATAATGCAGAGGGGGGGCAAGGTGGAGCCGAATTGGCAAGTCTATATTCCATGTTTCCCAAATGTCCTTTGGATTTCAAATGAGTCTCGAAAGAATTCATTATTCTGCTCTTTGAGACTACAATGATACTTTCGCAATCTGTACATTGAATATCACGCGTATCTGTTGGTTTGAATAGGTGATCTGGGTACTTTTGACAAAGGTCACTTAGACCCTTCTGGAGCCATATTGGCAATGACGACTAAACAGTTAGTTTATGAATCGACTCATTGAAACCCGCGCTTCTTACCAGATTTTCATCCTTTGATTCGGGATTTGGCAAAAATTCCATCTGCGTATAATGGTCAGACTGGACTGACGGGCTGTAAAACTGTTCTGGGGCAGAAATTCTTCTATTTCCATCCAAGGGACCGAGTGCAAGTCGTGCTAATCTCTGAGGACTAGAATTTCTGCTGCCAAAACGCAAATGACTTAAAGGAGTTTCACTCCCAGAAGCATCACTTTCATCCACCTCAGTTATTCTTCTTTTTTTGAATTTCGGGGCCAATGCTTTTGGGTCAATGCCTTCCTTGAGACTTCGATCGATCCTCTTGTGCGATCTTTCCGGCCGCACACTTGGCTCTGAGACATACTCGGCATGCCCGTTGGAGTTGTTCTCTTTATTAGAAGACGAATCGATATCTCGAGGCCTGACAAAATCGTAAAGTCGAAAGACACCCTTGCCGTCCGCGTTTTCAATAAAATTGACCGTTGTACCCTATTAGATTGTCAGCAAAATGGCTAAAATGATGGGGATATACTATATGATTTACCTCATTCACCATACTATTCACAATGCTCTTGAAACACTTTTTCTGATTCTTAATTGAGGTCGAACTCTCAGCCAGGACGCGGTCCAGTTCATTGATATACGCTTGTTGAATTGTAGGGCCAGAAATGCCTTCACCTTCCGGAAGATGGTAGTCATAAAGATATCGCACTACAAAATCCCTAATACGGGCATTATCCGCATCAGAAATCTCTTCGTCTGCCATAATTGTGGCCAATGCAATGAATGGTAATGGGTGGTTGAAGGAGGGGTTGTCAGGTGTTTCCGTGATTTCTCGCGATTTCGTGTTTGTTCCTGGCTAACTACCGGTGCACGGACCTTGTACGTTTTACCTTGGACCTTCATGTTCATCCCCCAGACGTGGGGAACTTTTGAGCTTTCAATAAAGCTTGTTGACTGACAACAATGATATTGTTAATTCAGAACCATTGCTATACAACACTTCAACCATCACTACTAATACACACATACTCGAGTACTCATCCTATTATGAATCTCTGTATACGGATACTTACCTGAGCAAGGTCTTGCACCGCAGCCAATGGCCACATGGAGGAAAAAAGAATAAAATGAGCAGACCATATTGCAGGACAAACAAAAGGGACGCTGTGATCGAGTTACTGTTGTCCAACTAGATACTATATGTTTCAGACACATTATTGATACTAAGTATCTCTCACTGCGGTCTAGAAAGAGTCTGTCTATTCTCCTGTTGTCTCATTTACAATATCAATAACGTCCAGCAATCATCACAAAGTTGGAATGGCTTCCAGAAAAAGGATTTGGGAGAGTTTCGCCGAGGGAACCTATAAGCCCTCTCAAAATGATGCGGATCTGCCAACTAGTTTGACGCCCTACCTCAATCTACCTTCTCAATAACGTCACGCTAACATCCCATAGTGATACATCGCACCTCACGACGTAGCACAGTGTCGACGCCAACATCTACGGTCGTTGCTATTAAGAAGAGAGATATCAACGAATCGCCTCATGATTTTGGTGAAACCATTGCAACTCTCAAGTCACCATCAGAATCTGTCGCAATCCGGGCTTTACAAGAGACGGCAGATGAGCAAGCATGGATGATCCAAGCCATGAGATCAAGAATCGATGCCAACGCTTTATGGATGCAAAGATCGAATCGAAAAATTTCGAGACGCGACAAAAGAGTGGCCAAACTGAGGAAGCGATTGGAGCGCGCGAACATTGCACTTTTGCGGGCAGATTGGTCGAAGTCCGAAGCAATCGCAGAGGTGGGAACCAAGCACAACGAGAGGGTGAAAGTCTTGAGGAACAAACGTCCAGCTTCAGCAGATGGGCCATGTACAAAGTGTGGGGAGAATTGTATTTGGTTGGTGAAGGAGAATCAACAATTGAGGAATCGGTTACATGAGGTTGATGGATTATGCATAAGACTCAGAACTGAGTGTAGCAAGCTTGAGAGTAAAATCAGGGGGCTCGAAAGTAAAGTGGATGAAATCAGAGGGTGATGATATTTTACATTTTGATTACCAGACAGATATGAAGGGGGGGTATGGAAACTTGAAGCTGTATCTTTATTATCAATGAATCCATATGTTTGTATACTTATTTCGTTGTTCAAGCAACAACCCAACATTCCATATACATTCGGGGATAACTTACCTACAATGTGTCATTCAATTTTCACTTCAGTTCATCTTTGAGTTTTGTTTTTGGTCTTGCCATTGGTCTTTTTAACTTTCACCAGAAAAGGTGTGTGGCTGCACTCTTTGTTTTTTCCTTCAAATTTCTTTTTCTAAGCACAATCTGACAAATTTATGCAGTTTCCCGTCGCTGCCCGCACACAACCTTCTTCCAAGTTACCAGTTCCTCATTCATCTCCGAGTCAAACAACAATTAAATCATTGAACCAGAAACGCGAAGTAATCTATCCAGAATTCAGTTTCCTCCATATTCAAATCAAATCATCGTCGAAACCGCTCTATCCAACACACCAACACAGCACTGCTGCTCTACCACAAATCAGTTCGCAATATCCATCACATTCTATACAATCATGACGTCCAATAAACACAAGAAATCCACTCCTCAGAAGTCACCTCAAAAGTCTTCACCTCATAAACCTCACGAACAACATAAATCTCACAAATCGCCTCAAAAGAAAGTCGCGCCGTTGAAAACACTCCCCAAACCAATTCTCCCTCAGAAACATGCTGGAGTTGCCCGCCCAATCTTGCCTCCTACTCGAAGGTTGTTATTTCTCCAAAATTCTAATCAGAGCAATAGTATGTATCTGCCTTCATCTCTCATGTTTATGGGATTTAACAGTTGCTAGAACAACCTTTCTCTTCACCACCTCCTGTCAAAAAGGATCACCTGAAGACGAGTATGTGATTTGATTCGTCTGCACATGCTGTTTACTAACAATTCTCAGAAAAACATACTTTATCTTCACCGGCGACTAAACTCTCGGATGATCGACCATTTAAGAAACAGCGTCTTTCGTCTCCATCTCCTGCGAAACGTTCCAAGATTGTAACCACAGAACAAACGAAGGTGGAGCGAGAAAATATGAGTACACCAAGTGATGATGATGAGGATGAAGATGAGAATGAAGATAGCACACCAAGCCCACCCAGTCGCAAGGGAAAGGCGAATACCAATAGAGGTGCGCCAGGAAGCCACAAGAAAACATCTCTTTCCGTTGCCATTCCTCCGAAAGCAGCCGTATCTGTGGTGATTCCAGCCAAGCAATACCCCCCATCACCATTCTCCACCATTCAACCCAATTCCATGGCTATCAACAAGATCGACATAAGCGTTTTGCGACTCGAGAAAGAGGAGCTCCAAAAACGACTCGACGCATCAGTGCAACAAGTGCGGGATCTAAAGTACGACGCACGAAATTGGGAGGATCGATTCAAGACAGCAGAGAACGCAAACCATGTCCTACGCAAAAACATGAATGCCGATGCTCGACATCACAAAGAAGTCACTGCTACCGCTGGCTCGGTGTTACATGAATGCGATACGCTTAATCAAAATAACGCTAAACTCAAACAAGAGCTGCTCGCCTGCAAGGCTAAGAATAAGAAAGATATGGATCAGCAAGGAGAGACGCACAAACAAAATCTTGAGCTTGCGAATAAACTGAACCATAAATTGAAGCTATCGGAAACCGATCGTCGTCACCTCGAAACCAAAGTTGCTCTCCTGGAAGAGGACCTTCGGCGTTGGCATCGCGCTGAGATAGAAAATATCAAAGCACCACCTAGCGAAAAGAATAGACTAGCACTCCTCGGCAAGCAGATCGCTCAATTAAGTGAGAATAAGGAAGAATTAAGCCATCAAGTGACTCAATTGAATAAGGACAAGGAAGAATTAACCCATCAAATCACCCATCTCCAACACCAGCTCCAACACAAAGAAGCCCTCACCTTCCAAATCAACCAACTCCACGAAGATATCCAATTCAAAGACGATCTCGCCTCACAAGCAACGCGTACCCATGCTCTAGAGACAGAAGCACTGGTCCAGCAAATCACACACCTGAAATCTCGATTACAGGACCAATCTCTCATTACGCAGGAAATCCATAATTTACGTGAAGAAATCCTAGATAAGAATGAAGAAATCGATATACTCAGTGAGGATCAGAGGAAATTGGTGAATGAGGCGGCACAGGGGCAGCATCTGAATCGTCAGAAGGATGTGGGGTTGGAGAAAATGGGATTGTTGGTTGCGGGGTGGACGATGAAGTGGAGGGCTCTGGGGTATGGTGATGCAGGTGAAGGTGCAGATGGAGATGCGGATGGAGATGGGATGGGTGGGAAGATTAAGATTCCTGGGGTGCAGGGCATGGCGGTTTGTGTTAATGGGGTGAGGATGGATTAGTGGGGTATGGGGTTTGGGTTTGGTTTGGGTCGATTAGTTTCGTGTCCCTGCGGAATTAGGAGATCTCGGCTTTCATTCGCTAATTGATCGAAGATCTCATCCAATGGGCCTCCGAAAAACTCACTTTGTAGGAACTACTCGAGTTTACATATTGTACTTATATTGGTATTTGCTGGAAACGTTTCTCGGTTCGGTGTTGAGATGAGAAAGGAAAGCTGGATATGTATTATATTCTTTTTGTATTTTATTCTTTTCTATCTCATTTCAATTCAATTACAAGAGAAGAAATTTTGTATTGTATATCTTCTACGAGTAGTTAATGATTTGATTATAATCTTACTATACTATACTCGAGAAATAGCTAGATCTCATTATCGCGAGTATACATATACTCAAGTACTCGAGTAGTACTCTATATTAATATAAACAATCGTTGAAGACTTACTCGAGTATTTTATATAATCTATCTCCGAATTATTTATTATCTCCTCCTCTTCTTCTTCTTCTTTTTCTGAAATTCACAACTCGTATATATAAATTTAAGTTTAAATAGCCTGAGTAAGATTACTCGAGTAATTACAAGTAGATATGACTATTTGTCTAAGATATGGTAGCACACACCCACCCCATTTCCCCATTTCCCTCTTGATTTCAGAGTCTATGCTAATTACTCGAGTACACTAATCTTTATTATCTATATACTAGTTTATACTCGAGTGTATATATATACATCATCAATATATAAACCCCCTATTGCAATAAATGCACTTCCGATTTATTTTTTGTTTCTTTCCAATTCCTACCTATCTCTTCTCCCTTCTCACTTCCCAATTCTCATTCCCGCTTCTTAGCTGTTCCCACTTAGCCTTTATTAGAGTCATTCTAAATAACCTTCTTTTCTTTTTCACTTCTCTATTTATCTTGATCTCTATCTTTAGTTTATTTATATTTCAATCTTCATCCCCCTCTATTAACTTACTTCTACTTCATCTCATCTCTCTCTATATCTCTATCTCTCTATATCCCCAACGTCATTCTCCAATCCATCCTTTTCCTATCCATTCGTCAACCCATCCATCCATTCACTTACTTCATCTCCATCTCCATCTTCATCTTTCAACGTAATCCACCTCCTCTCTTCTCTCTTCTCTCTTCTCTCTTCTAATCCAATTCAACCCAATCCAAACTAACCAAACTCAATCAAATCAACTCTCCCCTCCCCTACCCAACTCTGCCCCCATCCACCTAATCCAACCCAATCAAATCAACTCAAATCAAATCATTATCTAATATATCCCAATCGAACTGAATTATAACTTGAAAGCAAATCATTATTTATAATCTCCTTATTAATCTATATCATTTATCTATTTACACCTCTCTTCTTTCATTCATCTACTTGATCTCTGATATATATTCATATTATATCCATAACAACCCAACCCAATCCAATCCAATCCAAACCAAACCAAAAAACCCAAACCAAACCACCATCTACACCCCCTACTCGCTAGTTTTCCCTTTCCCTTTCCCTTTCACCCCCCTCCCCCTCCTCCCC